AAAGAATCTGGTCAAAACGGCCATTTTCACTGGCAACTTTGGTGGCACCCAACAGTGATTTTCATTTTTTTTTTTTTACAACTTTCTACAACTTATTTCAAGGACTACTATCAGCAATCTAATTTTGCATTTTCAACTTTAAATTCATTTAAATCCAATACTACTTAATATGAATATTTAGCAACGTTTCTCACATTTTTATTGCATATTGACTTTGTATTTATTAATAAATCATCTTCATACAGAAAAACAAAACTTCCAACTGTGGCAAGGGCGTGAACAGTGGCTTTTGTTGGCTGTTCCAGAGAACAACATTAAGATTTTAAACGTTCTCTGAAGATTGGAATGTGAAATAAAAGAGGTGAGAAATCACTCCACCTCTTGGAGCCTCGGTTTCCTCATCTGGAAAAGGAACTTCCACTCAGACCTTCTTCACAGGGTCGTTGGGAGGACAGAGGGGTCTAATACATGTAAAGTGCTTAGCACAGCACCTGGCACACAGTAAATGGCAGTGACAGTGGTTCAAATGTCCCAGGTATACATGAACTTAAATGTCCCAGGTATACATGAACTTAAATCTCACAGAAAAAGGTCTCAACAGAGAGATGTAAACAGCCCAAATGTCACAGTGAAAAAAGTCGTAGCCAGAGAGTCAGGGCGAGAGTGGCAGTCAGAGGATGAGGGCAGAGGAACGGGCCCTCCCGGCTCTTGTCTGCCTCTGAACCAATGACTTGGAGAATTCTGTCTGGAGGACACAGGGAGACAGGAACTGGTGGGCGTGCTGGCAAGAGACTAGACCGTGGTCTGAGAGCGACTGGTGGTATTCAGTGGCAGTAGGCGTACGTATGACCTAGTACAGGGGTCTGCAAACTTGCAAGCCACATCTGGCCTGCCCGTGTTTGTAAATAAAGTTTTATTAGAAGGCAGCCATGCTCATTCATTTACATACACCTATGGGTGCTTTAGAGCTACATCAGCACAGTTGAGCGGTGGTGACAGACAACCCACAAAGCTAAAGGTATTTATTGTCTCACTCTTATGGAAAGCTTGCCAACCCCTGACCTAGGACTCAGCAGCCCCACTTCTGGAAGGAGGGAAAGTCCTCCCCCTGGTCTGCAAAGGGAGCTCATTGCTGCATTGCCCATTAGGTATCCCTCTCCGGGAGTTCAAAAAGTAAAATGTAGGCAATGCACCCTGTGGAATCCAGTTAAAAGCAAGGAACCCAACGCACATACATTAGTATGGTGGTTCTCAGAAACTCTGGGCTGAGTGAGAGGTAGAAAATGAAAAGTGAGCAATGGAATAATAAAACTAGCTAACATTTATTGAGTATTTAGCAAATGCCAGGCAGTATTGTGAGTGCTTCATAAGTATTACCTCCTTTAATCTTCCAGATAATTCTATGAAGTAGGAGCAAATATATCATCCCATGTCACAGGTGGGGACACTGAGGCAAGTAATGTAACTGCTAAGTAACTGCTAGCAAGTGGCAGAGCTGGGGTTTTGAACTCAGGCAGTTTGATGCAGAGCCTGTACCTTTTATCTTGACCTCTACACTGTACAGAACACAAGACTTCTCTGTACACTAAAATCACATATGTTAAAATGTTGTTTTATGTTATGTGTACCTTACCACAATAAAAAAAGAAACACACATCTATGCACAAAGCAATATTATGTATTTAAGGATATTTACCCAACCCATTGGAAGGCTGCCTCCATGCTGGTGGAGTGCGACGGGGGGGGGGGGGGGATGAAAGTTAGGGGATAGAAAACACAGACAAATGATAGTCGCCTGCTAGGAACCGAGCAGAAGGATAAACTTGATTCTGTGCAACTAAAATCCAAAATTTTTCAGCTTTAAATTTGCTAAAGAGAATTCTGGTGCTCCAAGTTCAGGACGGGGGACCAGTCGGAGGCTGTGACTGGCGCTGCCTCGTCCCCCACCCTCCTCACCCTCTCCTGCAGCCCAGCGGCTCTGTGGGCCGTCCCAGCAGCCGCCAGCAGTGCGGGATCCGAGGCTGGCCCAGTGGGCATGGCAGGGCACCGCGGGCTAGCTGCCTTATCGTGCCGGACAGAACTAACAGCGTGGGGCCTGACACAGGCCTCCCCGTGGCCACAGCGGGACAGCTGGCTTTTTTTTCCTGACCATCTTTGAGCTTGAGATCAGACACAGGAAAGATTAAAACAAATATGAATTTAATCAAGGGATTCTGCTATCCTGGGGTGGAAACAGGAGCCTGCTGACATAAAGAGAGGCTGGAGCGCTGGGGAGCCAGAGTCAAATCAAAGCCGCTTGCTTACCACTAACTGCTCAGATGATCTATATCATAACAACAAAAAAGAAAAACAATTATTTATTCTTTTTGATGTTGTGGCTCAGCAGCAACTTGCTTTTTGAAGAGAGCAAGGTCAAAACCAAGTTATTGTTTTTGCTGAAACTTTGACAGGGACTCCGAGTTCTTCCGTGTGACCTACTTAGATGAGAGGTGTGGGAAGGCGGGAGGCCCTCGTGGCTTCTGGGCCACGGAGAGGACTCCCTTTCTTCTCCTGCCCTCGCTCCTCCTCACGTCCCCCTCTCCCCTCTCTTCCCACTAAGGACCTGCATAAGACGGCGTGGGGAACACAAGGGCCGCCACGCAGTTCTGTCTGTTCTGGGAGAGCTGGAAGCCGAGGTCTCTGGACCAACTCCCCGGGTTCCACGGTGGCGCCCGTGCGTGGTGCTAAGTGCCAGGGACAGAACAAGGCACGCATCAGACTGGGCCCCTGCTCAAGGCGTTTCCTTTCACAGGAGACACGTGATTAAGTGACGGATTATAGTGCAGGGGATCCACGTACATAGACGTTCAGGAGAACACAGGCCCTGGGAACCCAGGCCAGGGGTCCAGAGGCATCTGCTCTGTGAAAGAGTCAAGTAAGCCGACCCTGAAGGAGGAGTCGGGACGGCCGGGGAGGAGGAATGTTTGGGCAGAGAGAACAGCGGCTCTAAGGCCTGCAGGTGAGAGGCCATTCAAGGAACTGCAGACGGTCTGATTGGTGGGCGTCCAGGGGTGTTAAGGAGCGTGGAGAGCATGAAGAATGGAGGTTGGATGGGGACCAGCGCCTGCAGGGCCTTGCCAGGTCAGGGCAAGGAGTTTGGATTTCCTCTCCACAGCGATGGGAAACCATAGACGAGGCTTTTCTGCAAGGAGCAACATGGCCACGCTTCTTCCAAAGGAGGGATTGCAGGGAGGTGACGGTGGAGGTGAGAGATGACGCTGGCAGGGGCCAGGGAGGTGTCAGGGGACGTGGAGAGAAGTGGAGAGCTTTGGACAAGACGCACACAGTTATCAAAATAAGGCCCTGCATGGCCGAGAGAGGATTTGGGGGCAGTTCCTCCCTCCATTGCCTGAGACCAGCTCCCCAGGAGAGGAGCCACGCTGGTCATGGAGGGTGGGGAGGGGTGTCAAGTTACATTCTGAGCTTGGGGGTCCAAGTGGAGATGTCCAGTCAGATGCAGGGGTCTGGGTCTTAGCAGATTTGGGGGGCAGACATGTAGATTTGGGAGGACAAGGCACCTGCAGACCTCACCATGGATTTTCATGTTCTTTGAAGCCTTGGTGAGTCCCTGATACTGTGCCAAACCCTGGAATGAGTGCAGCTGGTCAGGGAAGTGGTCCCAGGAAGCAGCCGCAGGGCAGCGGGGAGGCAAAGCCGGAGGAGAAGGCGGCCAGCACTTGGCAGGTGGACATCTATCGAGCACACCCACCCAGCAGCCACTCTACTTCTGCTATTGACGCACCCTGATTTTCTTTCAGAAAGGTGCTGAGTTGTTTCAGTGGTCCCAACTCTTTCCCCCTCTCCACATCTAACCCCTTCACCTTTGGACTTGGCAGGTTACCTCACTGAAGATACGTTCCCACCCCTTGAATCCGGGCACAGTCCTGCGATTCGCTTTGAGCAATCGAATGCGGCAGGAACGATGGTGTGCTCAGTCTGACCCTGGGCCCTGCGAGGGCACCACTGTTTCCTGTCTTGTGACTTTGCCATCACCCTGATGAGGATTCTGCACCGGTCGGCTGGTCCTGGGAGGAGAAGGACAGAGAATGGGCGCAGCGCTGTCCCAGCTCGTCGCCTCAGGCAAGCTCAGCCTGGAGCAGAGCCTTCAGCCAAACCACAGCTATGCGAGCAATAAACGCTTCCTGCTGCAGGCTTCCAGGTTCTGGGCTTGTTTGCTGCAATAAAGGGAACCATCCCCACCCTCTCTCCGTCCACTCTCCCCCGACCCCAGTGCCTAGTTTCAGAAAGGACATGTGTCAATCAGTATACTCTGCCCCCTGGCACTCCGGCCTCAGTAAATATTTCACAAGGGGGGGGGGCGCATGTGATCCAAGCCAGGTCAATGAGCCCCAACCCTGGGACATTTCCTGAAACTCTGGGGAAAGCAGGATTTGCTTCCCACTGGGGCTGCATAGGTGGTAGGGTGTCAGCCAGCTGCTGTGGGCCACCCTCTTGCCACGACAAGAGAAGTTATTTTTGGAGAATGGAGCACTCATGTTCTGATGAACTAGCTCTTCTCCCACCCTCAAAAGAAAAGAAAAAAGCCCTGATTTTTAGCATTTGCCAATTTCCATGATAGTAATACTCCCACCATGGCAAATTTCATGCTACCAGTTATTTAACAACACTGCCCAAAAGTCCTGAATGTTTTACAATTGGCTCCAGCATGCCTTGAAATGAAACCTACACCATGGAAAACAGAGGCAAAAGATGGAGTGATAGACAGTATCCTCACGATATGACTGGAGCCCCTATATCTAGCCATGCCTGAAATCCATTAGTACCCACAAACTTTTCCTCTTCTATGAGCCAACAGCTTCCTTCTTTTTCTTTTTAAATTATTATTTTATTTATTTTTTACCAGAAGCTACTAGACCCCAGGGAGTTGGCCAAGTTGGTTCTTTTGTTTTCTTTTTTTTAAGCCAGTCTAATATGGGTTTCTTTTATTTGCAACTTAAAGAAGATTCACACACACACACACACACACACACACACACACACACACAGCAAGTCAGTTGTTTAAGCTTGTCACTGCAACTATATCAGTCTCAGGACTCTTGTTTGCAAGTTCCAGGAAACTCAATTCAAACTCATCATCTCAGGCACCCAAAACATCCAGGCGTATGTCTGATTCAGCGACTCCAATGATGGTGTCGGGACTTGGTCTCACTCTCTCCATCTGTCACTCCGCTTCCTTCTGTGTGACTCCATTCTGCCTCATGGGAGCCCCCGAAGGTCCAGACTCATCTTCTTTTCCGCCACAAGTTCACTGGAAAATAGAGTTCCCTTTCTCTAACTCACCCTACAAAAATAGTCGGCGGACTCTTGGTAGCATGACGGACTCTTGTTGGCCCAAACTGGGACAGAAGGTCATCCCCGAGCCATTCACTGTGGTCGGGAGATGGATAATGTGGGTTAGCTTAGGCCAGGCTCACACGCCATGCTCCAGGTCTGGTGTGAGGTCAGTCCCAACCAAACCATACCGACTAAGCTTGGGGAGGAGTGGTTTCCCCAAGGAAAACGGGGACATTCTTCCCAGAAGCAGCGAGAGCGGATGCTGAACATACATATAACAAATTCCCATGATAGGCATCTCCTTTCTAGGACACTACCCAACTCTACGCTGTTATTATTTCTCACCTGGTCTTCTAATCAACTCTCCGACTTCAGCCCTCCCATCTTAACCAGGCTACCCACAGCTCTGAATCTTTCAACTTCTACTCAAAAAGAAGAAAAAGCACAAACACTTCAATGGCTCCCACTTGTCCAGCCCATTAAATCCAAGGCCCTAGACCTGAAACTAAAGACTTTCCCTGCTCTGACCCCAAGAGGACTCTCCGGTCTCGGGGCCTCCGGTTTTCCCTTCGCCACTTACCTGACATTTCAGCCAAAGCAGACCAGCTGCTGTTCTTCTCCTACACCTTGTTTCCTCTCCTCTGAGCCCTTTGCTCATGCCGTGCCCTTCACCTGGAACGCTCACCCACTCCCCTCCCCATTTTCCAAGACCTTGAAATCAAGCCCAGCTCATAGCCAGCACCGCCAGGAAGGCTGAACCCATGCCACCCTGACCCTCCAGTCCAGCCACTCCTGCCTCTGACGCTCAAGCCTCCGTCTCCCGGTCTTCCTGAGTGCTCCTCTCATGCTGTGCCTCCCTGTTAATGCTGCTATAGCTCCTGTGAGTGACAGTACTGTGTGCAGGAAAGCAGGCCTCCTGAGCAATAGAGCCAGCCCCGCCACTACCCTTTCAACGGCAAGAAACCCAATTGGTTCGGCCATAAGCACACACAGAACAGGAGAGCCTCCACGGCTGGATTCAGGGCTCCTCTCCGCTTCTGCCCTGCCCTGCCCTGCTCCCCCCCCCCACCTCCAGCTACCCCCTTCATGTCGTATTTCTACTTTTCTTGATATGATGGCCTCATTTCCTCTCACTGTTGCTTCCTTCATGCACCCGGAGAAGGTGGCTTCTGCTGATTCCAGCTTATATCATCCTTGGAACTTGGGATTTCAGAGGATGGAAAAACCATATTTTCTAACAGTTCTAACAGCAAAATTCTGGGGAGGACTCTAGCCTGGTTTGGGTCATATGAACCAATCAATCACTGTGGCCTGAGGAATAAGGTTCTCTAATTGACCAGGACAATGTCACATGGCCATGGCAGGCTCTACCCCACCTGTAGAATTTTATGGAGTAGGCCCCTAGGAGAAAGGGGCCTGTTTTCAGAAGACAAGGAGAGGGAAAAAAAGGCACTCATTTACCCCGGTACCCCCACAACACCCAAGCATGAGGACTAGTTGATGTGGACAATGATGGCTGAAGAGATAGAGACGGGGACAAGAACAACAGCTCACCTGCTGGGTCCCAGTGTGCCTGGCACTATTCTAAGCACTTTACATGTATTAACTCACTTATTCCTCAAGACGACCCTGTGTACTAAGTACAATTATCAGTCCCATTTTACAGATAAATGAGGCACAAAAAGGGTAAGTCCCTTGCCTAAGGCTCCCCAACTAAGAAGTTGAGGAGCCAGGATTCAAATCTCAGGAGTGTGGTCCCAGAGCCAGTGCGGTCCCCACTGTTCAACAGTATAGACAAGGAGACCTTGGTGGTGTCGGGTAAGCGCCATACAGACAGGGGGGCAGGAGAAATCTGCCCCCATGTGGTTATAACCTCTAATCGGCCCCAATTCTCCTTCGTTAAAACAGGGAAGAAGCATGATATGACGCCCCAGCCCTCATCGCCTCGCCACCTCCTTCCCCTCCAGCTGACTTCGATCCCCCGCAGTCATCTGGGGTTCTCTACCTCTTAACACCCTGAGCTCCTTGATCAGTGACAGGAACAGCAGAGAGATGAGGCACCAGAAGTGCTGGGAGGCTGTGGGAGGCAGGTGGCCCCACAGACCCCAGTGCCAAACACAGAAGGTCAGGCCATCACTGGAGAGGGATGGGGAGGAGACAGACAGACAGAGAAAGTGGGAGAGAGAGAGAGAGAGAGAGAGAGAGAGAGAGAGAGCGAGTGCAGGCATAAAGTAGGGGAACAAGGTGTCCTTCCCGCAGGCACTCACCTATCAGCACATCTAACTCTCTCTTCTCTGGGGCTGAGAACAAGATGGGGAGGCGGGAAGACCTTTCAAAATTGGCAGGTGAACGTTGTGCTGCTATGTTTCTTTAGTTTCCCTTCTCGGATCTCCTACGTAGGGCGAGAGCCTCCAGGGAGGAGATGAGTGAAGACCTTCCACAGGAGGAAGCCCCACCCTGGACCCCACCCGGGGCAATGGGCCTGATGCTCACAAAGTCCCGGGAACACCTCTCGGCCAAGCCCCAGAGGCCAAAGCCCACAGCCACTGAGTCCTGCCTAGTGGCAAGGCAAGCAGAGGGATGCATGGTGGGCAGGCGGGCGCAGAGTGCCAGGCCCTGTCCATCTCTCCCCATTGCATTTTAACTGTCTTCTGACCCCACACAAGACCTCCATTCTCTCAGACTATCTGATTCCTCCAGTGGAACATGGACTTGAGGTCTTGCTTTGTCCTAACCAGCTGTGTGACCTTGGTTAACCCCTTCCCCTCCTGGGACCTGTCTGCCATCTCTACAGTGAGGGGCCCTTTTAGGCCTGGTACCCTGTGGTCCTGCGACTCCGTTGGTCTTCGTCAACCTTCAAGGCCAATGGTGCCCTCAGTAGGATGCTGGTCAGCACCCCCAACTGTCCTCCCTGCCCCTCCCTCGGAAGCCCCCTTCCTGCCTCCTCCCTGCCTGCCTCTCAAACCTTAGCTGTCTGATGCCCCCAAGGCCTTGCCAAGTAGCTGAGCAGCCACCCCATGAATGAAGGGGAGCTGAGAGGTGAGACAGGAGGCGAGAGCAGCCTGGAGCACCACCCCTGCTGGACAGCCCAGCGGCCCTGAGCAGGCCGGGCCTCTGCGCGGATGGTGGGGACTTATGACAGTGCATGCCGCGGGAAGGGCTGTCGGCTCCCACACCCCTCTGACGCTCCCAGAATGGGGCTGATCTCTAAAACAGAGAGCATGTGGGGGTGGTACAGGCAGGTCCGAAAACCCCTCCCCAGCTCCCCAAGAGACAGACCTTGAAACCCTAAAGGAGGGCGAGTGGGCAGAGAGCATGAGCCGCGGGCACATTTCTCTCCTTCCCGTGGCTGGCGGGGCGTGGCCAGCCGGTGAGGGCGTCCGGCCCTTACATGATGGGACAACTCGCGTGACCACAGCCTGCGCCAAATGTCAGCCGCATGGCGCAGAGGCCCCCTCCCACTCCCGAAAACCAAAGGCACCCTTCCAGAGAAGAAAAAGGAGGGAGCCTCATCATTAATAGCGCTGGCGGCAAGGTAAGGCCGCCCGCCCGCTCGGGCGCACCCTCGCCCATAATTATGCCAGCCAGCCTTTTATCCCCACGCGCGCACGAAGGAAGTTTATTGTTGTATTTCGGCCTTTTTTCAGTCTCCTCTGCCTTTTATGCAAGGGGAAGGGTGCGGAGGGGTCAAAGCATCCTCCCCCAGCGCTTCTCCCTGCTTCAGTCTTTTTAGAAAAACACCCAAAGCCATAATTTGTCTTAGAATTTCTTTTGAAACAGCTACAAGAAAGACTAACGCCTGCTCTTTTCCCTCTGTTTCTGATTCCAGCCATCCCTTTATCTGGCTTTCATTAGAGCCTCGGCCGCGCCTCTTTTGTGGGAGAGACTTGAGGGAGCCGAGGCAGTTTCCCAGCTCTGTGATGTTGCTAAAGATTAAAAAGCAGCTTTGAAGCTGCATCAGTTCTCTGTGCGCCCCCTCGGTACAGGACCTCAGAAAGACCCAAGCCATCTGGCAAACCTGACATAAAGACAAAATAAAGTGATTGAAACAGTCTCTTCAAAGCCACAATGGCAGATTTGTTGATTTGGGCGTTATCTTTCATGCGAGGCCCTCAGAAGTCACCAGAACACCTAGGTAATCTCAGGCAGGCCTGACTGGAGTGGATGGAGCCTTGCAGGGCAAGGCTCGGAGAGGGGCCCGGGTGTGCCCGGCAGGGCCGACTGATGGACTGAAGCCCCGGGAAACTCAACAATTGAATCCAGAGCCGGGCCCTGGCAAAGCTTGACAGCGGGGCCTGCTCACCCCGGCTCCCGCCTGCTGTCCCACCTCAGGAGGGGCTCCCGACACCGGCCAGACGGAGTCAGGACTGGAAGCTGCTGTGAGGCTGCCCTGAGCAGAAGGGGAGTGGCGGGGAGATGAAAGGCCGCTGCCCTAATTGCAACCGACAGCCCATTAGTAACGCCCTGGCAGCTTCCATATCAGAACCTGCTTCTCACGGCTCCCGGCTGGGCAAGGCCTGCGCAGATGGCTGTCTGCCGGGGCCCATGGGAGGGTCTCCCTTGGCCGACTGAGCCTGGGACGAGTGAAGATCCGGGAGGAACAGAACCAAAGGCAACGCTGACTCGGTCCTGCCTTAGCACCCGCCTGACACCCATGGACTCTGGAGCCCTTGCTCCTCCCTGGACCTCAGCTTGCCCTCCTGCAAAGGGGGCAGGGCCGACCCTGCTGGGCACAGCTCCTCTTACCCTGTTGGGTAGCAGAACCGAGCCCAGAGCCTGGGGCCTGGGTGCTCACTGGCCTGGGTGGACAGCCTGAAGGAGATGCCGTCAAAGCCAGTAGTACGGCGGAACAGACCCCCCCACACACATTGAGTCCAGGAATTTGGAGGACACCACCCCACACACCTATTACAGATGTGACGTCAGACCACCGGTTCTTCTCTCAGTGCCTCGGTTGTCCTAATGGCAAAATTT